CCACTTGGTCATGGTAGACGAATGAACGTGTCCATATATTTTGGATTCTTACGTGAAGAAAGTTTGCAGGGCCTTTATTCGGTTTGGGTATCGGGATATTAAGGCTCACCTCACTGAATGAGTTAAGAAGTAGTCTCTCATCTTTCATTTTCTGAAAGAGTTTTATAGTATTGGTATCATTTCTTCCCTAAATGCTTGGTAGAGTTTAAGAGTAAAGCCATCGGACCTAAAGTTTTCCTTGTGGGAGAACGTTCAACTACAAATTCAATGTTTATAATAGATGGGCTATTTTGGTTATTTAGTTCTTCTTGATTGAGCTTTGGCATTTAGTCCTTTTATGACGAAGGAATTCATCCATTTCATCTGGGTTGTCAAATTTATTGGCATGAAGTTGTTCATAATATTCCCTCATTGTCCTTTTAATGTCTGTAGGATCTTTAATGGTGTATCTGTTCTTAATCTTGATATTAATAATTTGTGTCTTCTTTCTTTTTGCCCTAATAAAGCCTGCTGGAGGTTTATCAGATGCATTCACTCCTCTTTTCCAAGAGCCAGCTTTTGGTTTTACTGATTTTCTCTATTGCTTTTCTGTTTTCTACTTCATTGATTTCTGCTCTTTTATTATTTTCTTTCTTTGGGTTTAATCTTCCCTTTTTTTCCCTAGTTTTTTAGGTGGAAACTTAGGTCACTGATTTCAGACCCCTATTCTTCTCTAATACTATAAATTTTCATGATGTAAATTTCCCTCAAAGTACTGCTTTAGCTGCACCCCATGCATTTTTATATGTTGTGTTTTCACTTTCATTCAGTTCAAAGTAGTTTTTACTTTGTTTCAGTTTCTTCTTGACCTAAGCAGTATTTACAATTGTTACTTGGTTTCAAAATACTTGGGAATTTCCCACACATCTTTCTGCTATTGATTTCTAATTTAATTTTATTGTGGCCAAAGAGTATGCTTTGTTTGATCTGAATCCTTCTAAACTTATTGAGACTATTTTATGGCCCAGAATATGATCTATCTTGGTAGGTGTTCCACATGCACTCGAAAAGAATACTTGTTCTTCTGCTTTTAGATGGAGAGTTTTGTAAATGCTAATTAGATCACATTAGCTAAGAGTATTGTCCAACTCTTTCATATCTTTAATGATTTTCTGTCTTCTTGCTCTATCAATTATTGACAGAGGGGTGGTGAAATCTTCAACTATGATTCTACTATCCTTCAACTATTTCTCCTTTCAGTTCTATCTCTTTTGCTTTATGTATTTTGATGTTCTGTTATTAGGTGCATGAACAATTAAAATTGCCAAGTCATCTTGATGAACAACCCCTTTGTCATTATGAACTGATTCTTTTATTTTCTTTTTTTTTATTTGAGAGAGGGAGAGAGAGAGAGTGAGAGCGAGAGCTCATGTGCATGAGCAGGGTAGGGACAGAGGGAGAGAGAGAATGTTAAGCAAGTTCCAAGCTGAGCATCCAGCCCAATGTAGGGCTGGATCCCATGACCTTAGAATCATGACCTGAGCTAAAATCAAGAGTCGGATGCTTAACCGACAGAGCCAGCCAGGTGCCCCTGAGGTGATTCTCTTTATCCATGGCTATATTATTATATACTTTAAAATATACTGTGTCTGATATTAATATAGCCACTCCAGTTTTATTCAGATTATTATTAGTGTGGTTTCTCTTTTTCCATCCTTTATTTTTCATTGATTTGTGTCTATTATACTTGAAGTGTATTTCTTATAGGCAGCATATACTTGGGTCTTGATTTTTTATTCAACTTGACAGTCTCCACTATTTGATTTAGATATGTAAACCATTTGTATTTAATGTGATTATTGATATGATTTCATTTTAGTCTACTATCTTGCAATTTGTTTTTGCTTTGTTTCTTCTCTTCTTTGCTCTATTTTTCCTCTTCTGCCTTCATTTGCATTAACTGAGTATTTTTTATGATTCCATTCTATGTCTTTTGTTGGCTTATTACTACATATATTTTGGTTTACTCTCTCTTTGATTTTTTAGTGATTGCTTTCGTGCTTATAGTTTACAATTTTACAATATCTCAGTCTACCTTTAAGTGATAATGTGCCACTCAGCGTATAAGAATCTTACAACATTTTATTTCCATTTCCCTCTCCTGGCCTTTATGGTATTGTTGACATATATTTTACTTCTACATTTGTTATAGGCCCCACAAGGCGTTATTATTTTTACTTTGAACTTGAACAATAAGAAAGAATATTTTATACTCACTTACATATTTACCCTTTCCGCTTTTTTTTTTTTTTTTTTTTTTTTTTTTTTTTTTTTTTTTTTTTTTTTTTTTGGTCCATATTTCCATCTGGTATTATTTTCCTTCTGTCTGAAAGACATCCTCAAACATTTCTTATGGCACAGGTCTGCTAGTTATAAATTCTTTCAGTTTTAGTGCATATGATAAAGGCTTGGTTTTACCATCCGTTGTTAAAATGTTTTTCTCTGACTAGCTTGCCAGGTTTGTTTCTCTTAGTGTTTTGAAATGTTGTTCCATGTCTGCTGGCTTGCGTTGTTTCTGACTAGAACCACACTCTTGCTCATATCGTTGTACCTTTGCATATAATGCATCCTTTATATCTGGCTTTCTTTCTTAAGATTTCCTCTTAGCATTGGTTTTAGGCAATTATATTTCAATGCCATTTGGTATGGTTTTCTTTATGTTTGTTTCAGTTGAGGTTCGTTGTGTTTTCTGGATCTGTGGGATTTTTAGTTTTTATTAATTTGGAAACTTCAGATATTATTTCTTCAAATATTGTTTTCTGTCTCCCTTTCTTCTCCTACGAGAACTCACATTACACACACATGCCATGGCTTTTGAGGTTGTTCTACAATTCACTGAAGCTCTGTTCCATTTTTTCCAGTCTTTTTTTCTATTTCTGTTTCATTTTTAGATAGTTGCTGGTGCAGTGTCTTCAAGTTCACTACTCTTTGTTTCTACTGTGTCTAATCTGCTATTAAACTCATCCAGTGTATTCTTAACCTCAAACGTTGTATTCTTCATCTTGCTTATGTTTTCCATATCTCTCCTTAGCATGCTTATGTTTTAATCGACCATGTTGAACATGTGTAATATTGTTACGATAACATTTGATGTCCTTGTCTACTAATTCTATCATTTGTGTCATTTCTGTGTTGCTTTTGGTAAGTTAATTTTTTTCTCCTACTTAGGGGTCATACTTTCTTGCTGCCATGCATGCCTGGTAGTTTTTTATTAAATGTCAGGCATTGTGAACTTTACCTTGTTGGGTGCTGGATATTTCTGTGCTTTTCAAATGTTCCTGAGTTTTGTTCTATAACACAATTCATTTAAAAACAATTTGGTCTTTTTGAGGCTTGCTTTTAAGCTTTGTTAGGCAGCACCAAAGCATTCTTGTCTAAGGATGATTGTTTTTTCCTTCATCACCAAGATAATACCACTTGGAGTACCCTGCCCGGTGCCCTATGAATTACGAAGTTTTCCACTGTGGCTGTTAAAAAAAAAAAAAAGGAATTATTCTCAGCCTGTGTGAGCTCTGAGGAGCGTTTCTTCTGCTCCTGTTGGGTGGCCCTTTTCCCACATGCACTAACCAGCACTCAGAGGCGGACTTGGGGTGGGGGGGAGTCTTCAAACCTCCAGTGCTCACTTTCTCTCACTGTGCAGTTGTCTCCTAGTACTCTTCCCTGCAAACACAAGCCACTTTGGCCTCCCCAAACTTCCACCTCCATTTTCTCCACTTGAGTGGCCCACAGAGCTTCCTGGGCTCCCTCATTCTGCAAATCAGAAACTTCCAGAGAGCAAGTTGTGACAATTTGGGGGCCAACCCTGCAGATTTTCCACCTCTCTGGGATACTTATCTTGCACTTCTTGTTGCCTAATGTCTGATATTAGTGGGTTTGTATATGTTTTTCCAATTTTTGAGTTGTTCAAGGCAGGAGGGGGAATCTGGTTTCTGTTGCTCTATCTTGAAGGGAAGTACGGGTGTCGTCTTTACCATCTTCAGGACTTTGAGCTTTTTGCTGAGTGCAATGGGGAACCACAAGAGGGTTTCGAGCTACATGATCTGACATACATTTCTCACATAGTAGAATAAATTAATGGGTACATGTTAAGAGATGAACCACCTCCTAATATATCATATAATGTACCCTTTGAATTTGTTGACAGTCTGTTGTCTTGCTCACTGTTACATCCTCAGTGGGTAGAAAGAATGTGACTTGCCTGTGGTCGGTATTTGGGAACCAGGAACTGAGAGTGAAGGAGAAATGGGATCCCAGAGCAGGTGGAGCAGAGACCCACTCCTGCCATGAGGGTTCAAGAGGAAGTCGTGAGACAAACAGCTTGGGCACCACCCCCAAAATGAAGGATACCTCCTTTTTTGGCCCCTCTGGCAATGAGCACAATCTGAGGGAATCCTGTCCCCACATTTGCAAAAGGAGAGAAGGGGAAAAGGAAGGAGGAAGGAACCAGCTTCAAGGGGTCGATGTCCTTCCTTGCCCATGCCACACGTTTTTTCTCAGTATCTCTGTCATGCAAACATAATTGTTCTCAAGCACCAGGAGACGGGGAGGCGGGAAGGTCTGGAGCACAGACGGTGTTGTAGTCCAGCACACCCATCTTCATGGCTCCTGTTCCCACCTGCCCTGTAGCCCTTGGACCCCCACCAAAGACCCCCTCGGTGATATCTGGGTAGCCAGGACAGTCTTGTGTGTGACCCTGAGAAGACTGGCTCCCCCAAGTCAGTGCAAGAGCTAGAGTTGGGGATGCCATACCCTGAGCCCTCCAGGTCCTGTCAGTCACATCTGTGCCACCAGCACTTGCTGGGAAATCAGGCCTCTCCAGACCCACAGTAAATGCTGCCTACTTAATCAGGATGTTGCCAAGCCTGATCCTGACCAACATGGCTCTCAGTGTCTGCTGGCCTTGCATTCATGAATGCACATGAGGATGCCTACATACATCCTGGACCTCTTTTCTATTTCAGAACGTCCTCCCATGTCTCCAAATCCATGAAGGAGTTGTCTTACCTGAAGGTACCTCAGGACCCTTCCTGCAAAGACAGACAGGGACACCCAACCACCATCATTCTCTGCAAGTCACAGAGTAGCCAGGTTGTCGTGGGGCCCAAGGAGCACAACATGTTCATGGAAGAAACCTACAGTGCGGGTGATCACCAGCCCTGGGACTCCAGCAGGGCAGGAGATGGGGTGGTCAGGTTCCAGCAGACCCTATCATGTTCCTGCACCAAAAATGTTAGGGATGAGGGCCAGAGGGAATCCACCCACCCGGGGACCTTGGGGATGTCAAGGATCTTGTGGACATAGTGAGACCTTCAGGAGAGAGCTCTACACACCCTCCTTGGCCTCTTCATGCCTCCTCAAGCTCCATCCTAAGCCCAAAACTTCCCTCCCTCACACCTCACCTTCCATTTTTCTCCCACACCGTTTCACACCTTAGGACCTCAGCTTAGGCTTGATCCTTTCACAAGAATGCTTCTCCCTTCATTCAAAGGGTAACATGACTTCATCATTCTAGGCAAAGTTAAATTGCCACCTCCTCCAAGTGGCCAGTCCTGAATGTCCCTCCATCTTTTTGGGGATGTATTATCCCTGCCCTCTCTGTGTGCCCAGGGCCTTTTATACAACTACAGAACCAGAGTCCACTGATATTGAGTAGGGTTCCCATGGGCTGGGGACTCCTTCAGAACTGAGCTGGGTCCTGACTCCTCTTTGAGCCCACACACACAGTCCTACGACCACACAGAGTGAACAACATTGAATGTTGAATGACAACATGGAAGGTGAGGGAGTTAAGGGATGAATAGATGGAGGGGTGGAGGGGTGGGTGGGTGGGTGGATGCGTGATGGGTGGATGGATAAACTTATGAATGGATTAGTGGGTAGACAGGTGGATAGATGAATTTGTGATCAGATGGGTGATGGATGGATAGATGGATATATTTACTAATGCATGGACTGGTAAGTTAGTGTAAAGATGGACAGACAGGTGGATGAATTGATGGACAAATAGGCATATACATGAATGTGTGGGTGGATGGACAGATGAATTGATGGACAGGTAGATGATAGATGAATGGATAAGTGGATGGATGAAAAAGTGGTTGAATCAATGAATGGATGGAAATATGCATGGGTGTTTATACAGGGTGTGAAAACCTGCCTGTCTTCCTGCTTCTTATCCTATCTCAAACTCCAGGAGGACTCTTTGGACAGTCAAGAGGCCCAGGAATTCCCAATATATTCAGTTCTTTAGTCTTCATTTTCAAGTCACTCTTTCCCATTCCCAGCCCTACCACTTCCCTGCCTATGCATCCCAGCTAGCACAGTGTAACCTCCCCACAGCCTATCCACCCTCACACCTTTTTCTATCTCCTTTAGCCATTTGCTTCAAGATGCTCCAGGACCTGAATGGTTCAGACCCTCGCAGCCTGAAGTACATCATTAAGAAGATCAAGAACATGGCTCATGAGGCCCCCAACCTGGTGCTGGAAACTATCCATGACTACTTTGTGAACAACCCAGAGGTGGGAGCTGCTTGAGCCATTGGAGGGAATGCATGGAAGCAGAGGGAGGGCTGGACCCCAAGGCAGGTTCAAATCTTGGCTCTTTGGTACAGCTGCTTGATTTGGGGCAAGTCAGTACTCCTCATATGTCTAATGGGTTAAGCAGGGAGGGAAGAAGGTGGACCATGTGTTGACCACCCTCAGAATAGTCTCATGATATAGATATTATGACCCCCAGAGATGAGGAAACAGGCTTAGGAAAGGAAAGTGATTTGCCTAAAGTCACAGAGAAATTAAGTAGCAGAGATGGATGAATGGATGGATGGATGGATGGATGGTTGGATGGATGGATGGGTGGGTGGATGGATGGGTGGGCGGATGGATGGGTGGGCGGATGGATGGGTGGATGTGTGGATGGATGGTTGGATGGATGGAAGGTTGGCTGAATGGATGGATGGATGGATGGGTGGGCGGATGGATGGGTGGATGGGTGGATGGATGGTTGGATGGATGGAAGGTTGGCTGAATGGATGGGTGGCTGTATGGATGGTTGGCTGGATGGATGGTTGGCTGGCTGTATGGGTGGACAGATGGATGGATGGATGGGTTGGTGAGTGGGTGGATGGATGGATGGATGGTTGGCTGGCTGGATGGGTGGATGGATGGATGGATGGATGGGTGGGTTTGTAGTTGGCAGATAGATGGATGGATAACTAGGGGGAAGATCTGATTGAGTTTTAACAAATGAGTGAATGAATGAATGAACTGACTTTAGAGGTGGAATGCTTTTAAAATCCCATAGCTGTTCTTGAGATAGCGAAAAACTTTTATTTGTCTGTCTCTGCAGAACCTCGTTCGAGGCCTGCCTATAGTGTGTGTTCACTAAATAGTTATTAGATGAATGGCCAAGTGCATCCACTGTGACCCTCTCCCTCTGGCCTCCTCAGCCCCCTCGGCACCCCCACACCCAGGCTTTCCCCGGTGGCCACTCCCTGTGTGACCGGACCCCACCTGTCCCTGAGCCTCTGCCCACTCTGCCCCCACAGATGTCCTGCCGGCACAAGTTCTGGCTGTTCCAGGTCCTGGAGGCAGCCATCGAAGCCAGCGACTCCCTGGAGGAGGCCTGGGAGAAGACGTTCATGAAGCTGGCCCTGGAGAACATGACTAAGTCCACGGTAAGCCTCCCATGCCAGCAGATAGGCCACTTCTGGGAATGCAAGCTGCTGCCCCCGGCCCCCAAATAATAATGGAGATGTCCCGCCCTGTGGTTGACCAAGTGATTTCTGTCCATTTTCATTTTCTTAACACCAGTCCCTTCAGAGGGACAAACTCAGGCACCCATTTTACAGTTGAGAAAAGTGAGATTCAGAGAGCTCATGGCCTGAGTCTAAGGGCCCATAAGTGGAAGAACCAAATGTCAGCTGCCCCTTAACACCCCTTCCTGACAGCCCCCGCCCTGGGGTGGGTTCTGGGACCACCCCTCCACCACCGGTTTCATGATTCCCATGGCTGCCCCCCCACCAACCTCTGGGAGGCCTCCTGCAAGGAGGCCTACCCATACTCCAGGTGTAACACAGCCTCCACGACCACCTCCTGAGTCCTGCCTGGCGGACACTTCCAGGTTTGGTTCTGAACTGCGCCTACCCCAGGATGTTGCCCAGGGACCTGGCCCAGACCTGCCCACCGCCTCGGCTGGCTTCGACTCCAGAGACTTGTGGGCCGGTGGCTCTCAGACAGACCAGCCCAGGGTTGCCCACAGTGGACTAGTCAGCAAATTAGTGACTAGTCACCAAGGCCCATCACCACGTTCCAAGCCTCGGCACTCCACGGGGCGGGAAAAGGTATAATTGAACACTCCCACCAGGTATTTATGACCCCCGTTTACGGAAGGAGGGACCGAGGCTCAGGCGGTAATATAAGAGATGCTAAATGGCCATCTCCATGCTCCCAACAAAGAAGTCTTCCTTCCTGGTGTGGGTAGCAGACAGAGGCAGGGAACGAAGTCCAAAGCCACTGTATTCTCTTCCCAAAAGAATTTTAATTCTAAATTCGGACTCTAAATTCTTTATTAAATTTTTTCAACGTTTATTCATTTTTGAGAGAGAGACAGAGACAGAGAGACAGAGTGCAAGCGGGGGAGGGGCAGAGAGCGAGGGAGACACAGAATCCGAAACAGGTCCAGGCTCCGAGCTGTCAGCACAGAGCCCCACGCGGGGCTCGAACTCACGAACCGCGAGATCATGACCTGAGCCGAAGCCGGACGCTTAACCCACTGAGCCCAGGGGTCCCTGTGATTTCTTTTTAACCTGAGTCATCATGTGAAATGTCTCACCTGTGTATAGTTTACAAACCAGTAATAATAGAGCGGGGGAGGGCAGCGGTGACCCAGGCTGCTGCAGGCTTTGGGACACACAGGGCCCACCAGTGTCTGGGTGGTGGCCTGACCCAGCCTCCCTGGGGGTGGACAAGAGCACCTCTGAGGCAGGTCCGCGGCAGGGCCCTTCGGCACTTCCTGCTTCTACACACACCGCGGCCCACCGCCAGCTCTCCAGCGCGGGCCAGTGCGGGCCCCCCTGTAGGTGCCAGGATGTGGTCCAGGACTCACAGAGGAGCACAGGCACATCATCCCCCGGGTCCCAGCCGGCCGAGCGCGTCTGGGCGTCCAAAGCCCGGTCTGGGACCCCCGCAGCCCATCCCCACCGGGGACGGTGTCTCCGGTCCCCCAAGCCTTCCTCCTTCCTGGCTTGATCTCTTGCTTTGGAGACACACATCCACCGGCAGCTTCTTGAGAAAGTGTGCGTTTGGGAAGTGCAGTGTTGAGACCACGTGTTTCTGGAAATCTCTCCCTTCTGTTTCGCCCCGGACTCTGCATTGGAGACCGTGGACAGAAACATCTGAAACGAAGTCAGGAAGGCCAGGGTGGAGACAGTGGCCACCAGGGAGGTTGGTCTGACGCACGTGCTCACCTGGATCGGCTTGGACTTCAGGCCGCATTGACCACAAACGGCCACACCGTGTTGCGTTTTTCCCAGAATGAGGCTGATGCTGCTGAGCTCCGACCTGGCGACCGGCACAGCGACCTATCCTGTGTAGACCAACGTTATTTTTCCTACACCAATCACACTTCTTTCAAAACAGCTTCTGCGGGGTTTTCCTACGCCAATCATACTTCTTCCAAAACCCCTGCGGGGTTTGGCCTCGTAAGCTCTTTCTTCCAGCTCCAGGCACATCTCGGTTTCCTCCTGAATCTGTGTCTCCCGGATTGGAATTCCTAAAGGCCCCAAATAAACTGCTGGTTTGCTCTGCCGCTCAGTTCCTTCCTGCTCGACAAGGTCATTGTCATGCTGGCAGTGGTGCCCTGTGGTCCCCCCACTGCCTCTGGTGCAACCGTAGAGACGCCAAAGTCATTGCGGACATGAGACCTTTACCCGCACGCAGCCTTCTGCAGAGTCCCCCGTGCGTCTGCCCGCCCCGCGGTTCCCCAAGGTGCGCCTGGCTCTGGGTCTCTCCGTGGCCACTGTGCCCTCTGGCCCCTCCCCCCACGGTCTGGCTGGCTGTTTGGGACCTTTGTTTCTGGAAAAGTTCTCACTTATTTCACTGACAGTATCGTCCGTCCCCCGCGTTGCTCTGCCCAAGGCTTCAGGGACGCACAGGTGCGGGGTGTTCAGTCCTCCCTGATACTTTCATCTGGTGTCTCTTCCACCAGCTCTCTGTCCTCCGTTCGGCTCTCTGAGGACGCGCTGTCTTCCAGGCCTTCTGCGGAGTCCCCAGCTCTGCCCCGTGGCTTCGACTGTCCCACGATCTTGATTTGGGGCCCAGAATGTTCACTTTCATATCATGCTGTTTTATTGTGGATACAATACCTGCTTTGATTTCTCGGGACATTAAAGAGACAGCTTTGCTGGAAGTTTTCATCTCTCCGTTTGGCCTGTGTTTCCTCCCGGTAGCAGTTTTCCGGGTTTTGTCGGGTGTGTGGGGATGGTAATCATCTCCAGCGTGGCTGTCTGCCCATGGTTAGCGGTGATAGGAAGCTCTGAAGGCACCGGCGGGTGCCAGGATTTGGGGTCCACTGTAGAGTCAGCAGGGAGCCCACGGCTGCCCACCACCCGTGCCAGAACCTCTGTGGCTTTCGTCCTGGGCTGCCCAGATTTCCCAGAGAACACTCCAGCACCGTGCCCGGCCGGGAGGTGTGAGGCCCAGGGGCAGCGCTGTGGAGGGCCCTGGCCTCCCATCCCAGACCCGTGCCTGCCCCCTCTGGAGACCGAGCCACCCGAGACAAACTCCTCTGGGTGTTTGGGCACAGCATCTGGGCGCCTGACTCCTTCTTGAATCGCTGCACCCTCCCCCGGCACCCTGGTCGCAGAGGTCTGGTACACGTGCCCTGCGGAGTCCCCCCCACCTGTGGGCAGACCTGGCCAGGTGGCACTGGGCTTGCCCGATGCTGCCTACTCCTCACTGATTACTGTCATTCATTTGCTCTCCAGCTTCCAGAACGTGGCTGCTGTTGAGCTTCTTAGAACATCTCCTTGGGGGAGGGTAGGGGTGCCTGGGTGTCTCAACTGGTTAAGCGTCCAACTCTAGATTTCGGCTCAAGTCACGAGCTCATAGTTCATGGGCTCGAGCCCCGCGTGGGGCACTGGGCTGACGGCCTAGAGCCTGCTTGGGATTCTGTGTCTCTGCCCCTCCCCCACTCGACCTCATGCACTCTGTCTCTCTCAAAACAAATAAGTAAACTTTAAAAACAGCTCCTAAATGTGGCTTAGTCGAGGTGTTTTTTTGAAAGGGCAAAAGCAGTTTCAATCCACCCTCTTGATGAGAAGCCCTCATACCCACACTTTGAGTAAATTATAAACGACTGAATGATCTCACATGATGATGGAAACAGCATCGCAGGGCACACAGGGAGGGACCCGAGACCTCCTCGCTTTCAGACGCCACCAGACGCAGGGCAGACCCCTGGCCCCCACCCGGCAGTGGTGCTGTGACAGCACCTCCCGTCTCACACCGGCAGCCGCGGACAGCACCTGATGGTTCCCACTAAACCTCGGAGAAAAGAGGAACCCAGATTAGAGCAGCATCAAAAGACATAACAAAATTTTGTTGAGAAGAGCCCCAGGTGTGGCGACACAGAGCGGGCTCCCCTGTGCCCGAGGCCACCGCCCCACTAGCCGGGGGTAGGTAGGCAGGACCGCCAGCTGGGCCTCTTCCCGAGCGGCTGACCCCGAGCCCTCAGGCCCGAGAGGCAGAAACCGTGGCTCGGAATTCACCTGGATGGGTCATCAAAGGAGGTGACATTGTCTGGAGGAGACAGTTGACTGGAGCCTGCAGGACCCATGTCCCACGTGGGTGCCTCGGGGCCCGCTCTAAAACGGACTAGATCTGGATGGACAAGGTGGGCGGGAGCGGTGCTCCAGGCTCAGAAGCAGGAAGCACAGCGGGCTTCTGGAACTATCCCAGGACCAGGGGTGCTGAGGGTCCCGGGAAGCTCAGCCCCGGGACAGAAGCTCAGCTGGCGTATGCTGGGCCACCTTGGTCTGTTTTCTATCCAAAATGTGGGCTGACCACAGCGGCCCTGCCGACCAAACCAGACCTCATGCATGAAAAGCCAAAGCTTTGTCCAAGTGCCCACTCCTCCTTCTTGCCCCCCGCCCTCCAGGAGCTGGAAGAGGTGTACCAGGACGCGGCCAGCAACGTGCTGCTGGCCATCTGTAGGCACTCGTGGCAGGTGGTGGCCCAGCACCTGGAGACCGAGGTCCTGACAGGCGTCTTCCCGCACCGCAGCCTGCTCTACGTGATGGGCATCCTGACCTCTAATGGTATGTCCTGCCCTAGAGGCCTGAGGCACCCCCCAGCCTCACCCTGGCCACCTTCTGCCCCCAGGCCCCGAGAGTGGCGTCATAGAGAAGGATCCAGAAGGGAACACGGTTGACCTACGGGGCACACGTAGGGCCAGGCATCGGCTGCACAACGTGTCTGTGCCAGAGGAACAGCATGTGGCCCCAGCCCCCCCCACAGCCCCCTCCCCATGGCCAGCCAGGGCCGCATCAAGGCCCCCAGGAAAGGAGACCACCAGCCCGCCAGCTGGTCCCCATTGGCCCGTGGTCCTGCTGTCAGCATTTCTACAATGGCCTGGACAGAAGCAGGACAGGGCAAGGAGGCTCCAGGAGGTGGCCCAGGATGGGCGTGAGGCCAGCACTGCCATAGGGTCCTGGTCCTCTGTCACCACAATAGGCGGGTGCCCCTGCTCACTAGCAGAAGAGGAACCAAGCTCACAGAGGCAGTGTGGTGGGCCTGAAGGCCCCAAACAGCATGTTACAGGCCTGTGATGTCCAGGTCCCAGGGCTTCAACAGCAGCCACTGGCTCTGAGTTGTGGGAAGGGTCGCCCTGGACAGTGGGGTCTCTGAGGACCCTGGGGGAGGCCCTATAGGGAAGGGTCTTGCCAGGAGAGAGTTTAGCATAATGCAAAGCAACCAACTGAGCACCTGCCCTGTGCCAGGCTCCCTGCCCTCAGGAGCTCACAGCCCCCGGAGGGAGGCAAACACCAGCTGTCACTTAGGCACGCTCATCCACTCACAGTGTGAGCGGAGTATGCTGCTGCCCTGAGACCCCCAGGCCACCCCCAAGGCAGCCCTCCCTCCGAGGTTGAGTTTCCAAAGTTCCATAAAAGCTTTCCGTTCTCACAACGCACCCCTCTCCGGGCTTTATTTTCCCACCCTTGAGGGGATTCTGGCACATTCCAAATGGCCACGCCTGGAGGGAACCCTCCATTCACCATTGGTGAGCCGGGGGCCCCAAGAGGCAACACGGCCGACCTGAGGACACAAGGCCAGGGTGGCAGGGCCACAAGTCCAGCCCAGCTCTCCAGACCCTGCACCCAGTTCACCGCCCTCCACGAAGCCAGGACAAGCAGAGGCAGGACAATGTCACCCTGGCTCAGTCCAGTATCTGAGGGATGGGGGAGAAGGAGCCCGAGATCCAGCCCTGGTGTGGACGTCAGACGTGGCCTCCAGCGACGTGGCCCTTCTCTCCCGCAGAGTCAATCTTCCAGAAGGGAGAGAAGGCATGCTGGGAAAAGCAGCTGGCCCAGGTAGGGGGGAGCCCGGCCACTGGGGCCTTCCAAGGGACGCTGGGGGCAGCAGGGGAGCAGGGCATCTGCTCTCCCTGGGAGGTGGGTGGGGGTAGGGAGGAGCCCCACTGTCACAGATGAGCAAACAGGCTTAGAGGGGACTACAGGATGTAACGCACAGTGCCCGGTACGCAGGCCGCCCTTGTTCAGTGTAGTTAATAGTTTCCGTTAGTGGTAACAGTAGCAGCTAATGATTAATAGAGAAGTAAGACAGAAAATCACTAAGGATAGAGAAGCCTTGAACGACATAATTAACCAAATTGATCTAATTGACATTTCTTTCAAACATAAATAGAACATTCACCAAGATAGCGCGTTCGCTGGGCCCTATATCAAGTTTCGATAAATTTAAAAGGACTGAAATGAAACAGAGTACATTCTCTGACCAGAATGTAAATCAGACATCAATAGCAAAGATGTATCTGGAAAAAAAATCCCAAATATTTGGAAAGGAGACAACACATTTCTAAGGAACCCATGGGTCAGAGAAGTCACGAGAGAAAGTAGAAAAGATTTTGAACGCAATGATCATAAAACACAACGTATGAAAATTTGTGGGGTTCAACAGAAAGCAACCTCAGAAGGAAATTCATGTTTTTAATGCCTATGTAAGAAAAGAAAGGTATAAAGTCTATTATCTAAAAAGCTATCGGGGTGCCTGGGTGGCTCAGTAGTTTAGGCGTCCAACTCTTGATTTCTGCTCACATCATGATCTCGCCGTTTGTGAAATCAAGCCCCATCGTAGGGCTTTGCGCTGATGACGTGGAGCCTGCTTGGGATTCCCTCTCTCCCTCTCTCCCTCTCTCTCTCTCTGCCCCTCTCCAGCTGTGTGCACTCTCTCTCTCTCAAAATAAGTACACTGAAAAAAATTAATGAATGAAAATGAAAATGGAAACTAAAAAGCTATCCAAAAAAAGGACCAATGAGATCTAAAGTAAGGAGAAGGAAAGAAATAATAAAATCTAGAGTACAAGTCAAAGAAATTTCTTAAAGGGATGCAAAGAAAACCCATTTGTTTGCACAACATCCCCATACATGGACGACCCTGTAGGCGCACCGGCTGCGAGCATGAGAATTACCAGTTTGTCCTTCTGGTAATTGGCCCACTCGGATGATGGCCCAGGGTGGGTGGATTTAGCTTGGGGGAGGCTCCCCCTCCTGAGCAGCTCACCGGCCAGGAACAGCATTTCCAGCTTGAAAATGGCCTTTTCTGACAAATGGATACAGAAGCTGCGGTTCATATACACAACGGAATACTACTTGGCCATGAGAAAGAAGGAAATCCTGCCATTTGCAGCAACGTGGATGGACCTGGAAGGTATTATGCTGAGTGAAATAAGTCAGGCAGGGAAAGACAGATACCATAGGTTTTCACTCATTTGTGGAACTTGAGAAACTGAACAGAAGACCATGGGGGAGGGGAAGGGAAAAAAGAAAGTTACAGAAAGGGAGGGAGGCAAACCATAAGAGCCTCTGGGATACTGAGAACAAACTGAGGGTTGATGGGGGGGGGGATGGGAAAGTGG